CAAGCCCGTATGAACGACTAACAAAAAATTATTGTAAAAAAGGTAATGAACATGTTAACTATGAAGTTTTGTTACTTACTTTCAACTACTGTTTTAGTCACAACGAAAACTTACACAAATATGTGTTAAATGCATAGAAAATTAGATCGATGTATTTTATCCATTAGTTTTATTCCATCTTACATTTTGGAGGTGGTGCAGTGAAGAAAATAGATTTAAGTAAGTTTTCTTACTTAAATCTTACATTTTAATCGAAACACTTAATTTATTGATGTATTGTATGAGTATATCATGATACAGACTCGATTCTTGACAGGAATTTTACATATTTTTATTCTCACTGATAACTGCTCTAATAAAATCATAGCAAACAATATCAACAACTTTGTGTCGGTGTTTCTAACAAACAATCATTTTTAACGCAATTTCTAAAACGTTTCTAATAGAATAATCGTAATAAATAAAGCAAGAGCAAAATAAATGAAAAAATGATACATTTTTCAAGTCTTTTGATTGGATTTTTTTGGTTCATATATTATAATATTAAAGACTATATATGAAAAGAAAAGAAATGTAGACAGTGTAAGAGAGAAAGAAAACACGAAAAATTGCAGATCTTATTGACTTGAACATATTTGCGCTGATTTTTTAACTATTTACAATTCTTTTTCTTTCAAATAAATAAAATGAATGAACGATATGCTACGAGATGGAAAACAACAACACTAGAGAAGACAAAAAAAAATAGAAAAAAACATTCTCTCCTAAATATTTAAAACTCTTCGGAAAAAAAACAAAAAAAACCGTTAATTGTTTAGATAAAAATAAATGCCTGTTTAGAGAAGGATATAGATATGTACAATGAAGAGAAATTTAGAACTTTGATAACTGTTTTACAAAAGTTTTTATTTAAAAATATTCGTATATGCAATTATTCTCTTAGCACCGAAAATGAGTAGATGAAACCGCATCGGCGCCTCATTTCTGTACAATGAATAAGAAAAGTCGTATGAAATAAACATATCAAGGTGATTTCAATATCTCAAATACAACTTGTTCTGGAATTAAATGAAAAATTTTACTTTGAAATTTGTTCAAACAATTAGTATTGAAATAACGAATGATTTAAATAATTCTGTCATTCATATGGTGAGAGGAAGATAGAAAAAGGAGACCGAAAAATAGATCAATTCAAAGAAAAGACAGGATGCAAGTTAGACATTAATAAGACTAGAATAGAAATTGAATGACAATCCATAACTGATTGAAAACGTTTAATTTTAACACTGAATCAGTAGATGATACTATCTGCAATATTGAAAATAGACTCACTTGAATCATAAAATGGCTACCATATGTCGTAGAAAACCGTGCTTCTGTTCATTAATATTTTAATTCTTTTTTGTTAAATAGTTCGTATAATACATAACCGATATACGTTAGAAGAAACTCTCAATCTCTCACTTCTCTTGTCTACATCTGTAACTAGTGCAATTCTTCAGTTACGAAAAAAAAAAGTGAAGACGAAAAGAGCAAACATAAGAAACTCTGCGGAATGGACGCTTACAATAAGCAGAAACTGTATACACAAAAATACTTATGATGGAAAAAAGAATCGAAAAAAGATACATTTTTACGACTTTGAATACAAACCATTCTTGGAATGTAAACTTTCATGTCTTAACAACAATAACAAAAGAAAAACACTGACGATACTAACATAAAATGTGATGACTAGTCACAAAGAATTATTCTTATACAAAAGTTTGTTCTGTAACGTAATGACATGAATCTATATACAAAACAACAAAAACATTTCTTCTTCCGCATAAACTAACCACTGTTTAACATTGTTAAAAACAAAAGAAATAAAGGGTATAAATGATACAGAGAATGGTAGAAGAGGAACAAAGAAAATGAAAATATGGAATTCTCAAACTGTATATATGTATGGGTATATGTGTCTGTCTGCTTCTGTGCCGTGTTTTTTTATTTAGATATACATATCAGACATACAACGTCAAATCAGAGACGAAAAGTGCAAAAATAATACGGATGGGGAGAAAAAAAAAGAACGACTTTTTTGTGATTTTGGCTAAGTTTTTTTTTTTGTTTTCTTTTTTACATTTGTTCATAATAGAAAAATAAATACAGAAAAACAAAAAAAAATAAGAATAAGAAGAAAAAGTTGTGTAGACTGAAAAATTGCCCTGCACGTTGCTGGTAAATAAATAAACTTCTACACTGGGAATAGAAAGAAGAGAAGAAAATGAGTAGCAGTTTCAATGTGTTTTGATATAATGATTTATTTGTGTTGTACGTGACCGTGATGTAATGATTTTTTGATCTTCATTTTGTACTTGTGATGCACACGATACAAGGGATGTTGATGATGTTTGTACACGACCAGAAACAACATCAGCATAAGTTGGACGACGACCACACGTATTGTCAACACTAATGACATCAGTTGATTTCATCACAAGTTTGCTTGACAAATTATAATCGTTAACAATAGTAGCAGAACGTGAGATAAACGCTAAATCACTTGATTCTAATCTCACAGCTTTGTAAACTAATAATCGAACAATCAATTCACGACATTGTAATAATGAACCACTTTCAACCTGTAGGAGAAAAAAAAAGTAGAAAAAAAAGGACCTTTGAAGCCAAGGATTTCTTTATCAAATGACATTTACAATTTTATCTTCGTGTCTTCATGGTGTGAAAAAAAGAAAACTAATGGTTTATGAGAAAAAGAAAATTATATTTCAGTAGAACCAAGGTAAAAGATATTGAAATTTGGACTCGTTGTTTCGAAACATATGCGTATCATGCAATGTGAGTATGAAAAATAGACGATATCCCGTGATTCACTTTCCCTATTGAACAGTGTAACTTGTACGACCAATCGTTTAATACTCTTGGCCTATCGAAATTAGAAGTGAACAAGGCGTTCCAAATACTCAGTCCATTGAACAAAAAAGCAGCAACAGTTTTTTTAGAATAGTTAGAAGCGGGACATATTCTCTAATAACAATGGAAAATTTGTTAAATAAATTTCTTACAAATAAGAAAAAGGAAATTCCCTAATATTGAAATTGCTAGAAAAACATTTAAAACTTAGTCTTCAGAATTTAAAGTGAACTAAAAGTTTTATTATAAAGAATAGAAAATGCAATCTCTTGTGCTTGTAAAATTTCTTTTTTATTATACAAAACAAAATAAGAATTCAACATACCTTAGCAAGCCTTTGTAAATTACTGATACAAGCTAACCAATCGGCATTTGTTTGATATTGTTGTTCAAGTTCAATACTGATCAAAGCTAAAGCTAATACACGCGGTTTAAAGCTTGCAAGACGATGATGCTGAAGACAACTTGATAATTTTATTTCCAGTTCTGTATATTTTTCGATAATATGTTTATCTGCAAAATTTTCTTCCCATACAACTTGTAATAATAATACAAAATACTAGAATAAAAGATAAAGATATCAGAATAAATAAGTAATAAAGATTAATTTTAAACTTACAATTTGCATAAAATCCATACATGTCACATGATCAGCGTACCATTCAAACTTTTCCAATATTAAGCGTTCCATTCTTAATAATTCATTTGTTGAACAGGATGAATTACAATCAATCACAAATTCCGGTGTTATTGGAATCATATCATCTTCTTCTTTTATCTTAGCAGCTATATACAAACAGCCGACGGCGACACATTCCAAAAATTTTGGACGAACCTATAAAAAAAGAATAAAATATACATATATAGAATTGACAATGAAATTTCAAAATACTCATTCAAATTTTTTTTCTCTCTAGAACTCTCTCCTATGTACCTTTAATGTTGCAAGAAATCGATCTAATAAATCAACACTTAATGCAAATGTATCATTTCCAAAATTCATGGATACAGCAACTTTTCGTAACCAAAAAACAGCATGATTACGTTGTGTACAATTAACTTCATCCTAAATAAAATAAAATACTTTATAGTTTATGTATAGTTTTTATAAATAAATAATTCTATATGTCTACAAATCTATGGTTGTCTAAAACTATGTCTATTAGTTTGAACAAGTGTTCAAAATTATAAAATGAGATCAGCATTACATTATATAAACATTTTGTAATAACAGATTATCGTTGATGATGCTAAACATGTCACACTGACAATTTTCAATAAACCTAACCCCACCTAGTTATTATTGAATATGATTTTTTTTCTTCTTCTTTTCATAATGTCATCATATGTTATTAACTGACATAACTGGTCTATACCTGACACAAAAACACCATTATTTTTCTGTTTGTTCTCTTTCCTAACCACTTTTCTATTAATAAACTCCATCTTCATTAATATTATGCACAACTGGTTTTTTTTCTCTCCTTTCTTTGCTAGATTTTGATCAAGAAATGCATTAACGATAAAAAAACAACAACAACAACAACTCTGTAGGCAGAAAGAAAAAGGCACACTATCCTTGAATGTAATATACATGTAAACATGTTTACAGATACATACCAGTCGCATTTGATTAAATTTTCTATTTTTCCATGTTCGATCTTCTTTATTACATAAATATTCTAATGTGCGTGTTAAATTGTTTGCTGGTGGTGTTCTTAATCCAATGATTGTCGCCATTACTGAAGCTGTGATTGATTATAATAACCTAAAATGGTGAAGATACAGAAAATCTCATGAAAAAAGTTGGAACATATTTTAAATCTAAACGAAATCATCTGTGTAGACTAGAAAAATTTTGGACAAGAGATTTGATATATATACAAATACAAACTACTTTTGTAGCGAAAAACAGATAATTAAAACTGTGTGTCTGTTGCGAAACTTGACATTTGCGTGTTGTTATCAAAATACTCTATTTTACTTTTTACTAACTGTTCAAATGACGTTTTGAACAAACTATCTATGATTTCTTTTCCGTTTCAGTTTGATAACATCCCTGACAAGTAACCGATTTAAATCTAAGATCTAGTCAAGGTAACTGAAATAGTTTTTTTCTTCTCCCGCAGTCATATCGAGTGATATAAAGTTTATAAATTAACAACCACTTATTATTTGTCTTGTATCATCAAATCAGCTAATATTTAAAAGTGATAAAAATTTCCTCATCTAACGTCATCTGTTAATCAGAGACATAGAAAGTGCGCGTACATATATAGAAAAAAAGTAATGAAATTAAAACTCTTTATATCTATGCTACCACGCACCCGTCTCGTGCACATAGTTTCAAGCTGGAAAAAAGTATGAAAAAAAAGTGGTTTCTTTTCATATTTTCTTTTGTAAATCTTGTTAAATTTTGCATATTTTTTCTAATAAATCAAGGATCTACCTTGACTACAAATGAACATTAACAGAAAACCTACGGACATAAAATTAACCATTCTAATCACTACAGCGTGTTCAGTCATTCCTTAAATTTAGCTTGTTCACAACTTCATAGGAAGAATTTTAAAGAAACTAGATTAGAAAAAAAATATCTAACATATTTATTCTATTTATCGTTTAGAAATGCAAATATTTAAACAAAAAATTCAGATCATTCGACTAACTAAACAGTTTTTTCTTCATAGAGGAAAAGTGATATTTTCAATTGTTAACTTTTTAGGTAATAGAACGAATGCTCTTTTTTTTCTATTTATTTTTCACTAGTCGTACTAAAAGAAGTTAACTAACTTTTATCTGCAGTAACTTATTCGATTTATCGAAACATCGAAGAGATAAAACTTATGCACAATAATATCTAGTAAATAAAAGTAGAATTAAACAAGTTGTTTACCTGTAACAATGAATGATTGATGGTGTTCGAACTGTTGTTGTCGTTATCTTCAAAGCAACAAGGTCGTTGACTTGCTCTCATCCAATATAATTCAATAGGTTTCAAGAATTACAACATATTTAACGATTTTTATTGTTGACATTTTTATACAAATATATAAAAAACTGTCCCTAGTGAAGAAATTAAATCGAAATGAATTGGCCGTTTTTTCGGCTGTTTAAGTAATTAATATTGATAGGACATGATAAAGTTGAAATATAAAACTAACGATGTTATTTATTCTTGTTGTTTATCGTGGTTGGTTACAGATATTTCTAAAAAACAAATAGAACAAAATTTGAAAAAAACAAACGAAGGACAACCGGTATTTACTCTTGGTTTTTGAAAAACTATGCGTATGTTTTTCTACAGTTAGACTTGTTAATGTATTGTTTCTGTCGTGTTTATATCTGGCAAGAGATTTCAGGGTCGTCGTTGACTATTTATTTCTACAATTTTTCTCATTTTTTTTTCTTCTTCGTTCTATCAAAATGTATCTTCCTTCTTTTTCTCTTGCTTTGCTCTTATATTACATCATGAACTCGAAATATAGCTATTTGACAAGTGTTTTGGCTTTTTTTCTCTCTTTACTTCACAATGTATAAAGAGAAGTGCGGGTTCTGCGTAGACATCAACATCATGAAAGCATAGAAGAGAAGAAAAAAATATAGAGAAGAAGAGAATAGAAAAGTCACAAGACTAATCGATGAATAGGGAGAGGTTTATACTTGCATTGTGATTCGTCTTTGTTATATAATGAATCATGTAATTGTTGCGACATCTACTAGAAAATTCTTTAAATTCTTTTCTATGAATTGCATCATTATAAAAATTTAAAACTTAGATATTTCAAGAAACTAAGCTGTTGCATCACAAATACAAGATTTCTAGTGTCTCCATCTTTCATTTCCTGTTGCAATACCATTGTTGCTAAATCAATACCAAAAGACGAAACGATATCGCAAATTACTTGCAAAAGTAATAATAAATAAATGAAAAAGACTAACCATTAGTACGATAAGTAGTTCAAAAACCAAGTGAATAGATCAGGGCTTAATATGGGCGGAAATTTTTTCTCTTTTAACATTCTTCAAAGAGGACTGTATTTTTTTACAAAAAATCGAGAACACATGTTGAGATAAAATTAACAAAATATTTTATGATATAGTAAATAAATAAAGGCATTTGAGCACTTTGATTATGAACAAATACTAAATAAAATTGAATACTCTGAAACACATCACGCACTTAAAACGAGAAAGAAACGTTTTTGAATGAGTTTTTGTTACCGTTCTCTGTAAACTCTTGATGAAAATACAAACATAAAACACCGCTTATTATGTCTATTATTCTTATAGAAATGTTTTAATGATTTAATCATTAATCAGAGGCGGCGAAACCATGGAGACCGTGGATGCTTTAGCATCCACAGATTTTAAAAATTTTCGTTTTCTTCCAGCGGGAACTTATTTTTCCTTTGCGTTCTTGTTCTTGAGCACCTATAATTTCAAGATCATTTTGCTGCCTCTGTCATTAATCAATTGGACGAAGAATGGCATAACACTAATTGTAACGAATTTGGAAACCAAAATCAAAAATATACTTCACAAATATATTTACGTATATATATGTTTCAAATTTAGGTCATAAGAGTATCTCTTCACTTAAACAAGAATTTGTAATACTGAGTCATAGATCATTGAACCACTATATCGGTTCAGTTTGATTTATCGGATGAATGATGAATACAACAGTCTTTTCTGGTAACCGACAGAAAGCAGATAATAAAAAGCATGAATTGTCTAATACCGGACAATTTTTTCCTGTATGAATTACTGTTAGAAAGACTATAGAGTGTCTATATTATTGATTAATTATTGGATAAGAAATGCTGTTGTACTGTCAAATATTACTTTTATTACAAACAGGATCGTATTGTTTATGTTGTATAACCAATTTTAGTAGTGACAATACGGTGAAGGTTAAAAAAACGAATTGAGAATAGAGTATTGCTGTCAAGAAAATAAACATGCAAGATTGAGAATGCTTTAATAAAAAAAACATTATGTTGTTTTGATTTGAAATAAAGAAAGTTCGTAGATTGTCGAATGCTATGTTAAGTTTAATTTAAAACGTCAGTTAATAATAATAAGTACATTGATATCATATTAAAACTTGGTTCACTTAGTTTTAACTTTTAAAATCGCTCAATCATACTGGTTGCCGCTCAAATTTTATGAGATTTTTGTTTTAAATTAGTATTTAGAATATCCTCAAATGTCTGTCATAAAATCTAAATTGACGTGGAAAGATAAATTTAGTGTTATTTCAAATTCATCATGTATATTCATTGGCACAATAGAACATATTTCATGCTGTACGTTAACACATAATGAGCATAGTGTTGGCGTTACACCATGTCACGATTGTCAGAAAAAATTAATAAAATTTATTGGCGAATTTAAGGTGATCAGTGATACTTATCGAATCTTTTAGGTAAATATATTGTCTTTGACAGGTTTTAGAAATATTTAAACCGGAACATTTCATTCAAAAATGTCAATTGATCTATGAAATATCAGATCAACTCTATGATCAAATCGAAGGAATGAAATCAGATAATACAAATACTCTATATATATTCAGTTCATCTCATTTGTCTCAACAACCGATTTTTATTGATCACATGTACAAATTGATACCTGAATATCTAGAAGAATTACGCAACATCTATTGTTCTTATTCAACTATAACAAAGTATCCACGACAAATATGTTCACGAAGTCGATTGAAAAATATTGAAAAAAATAAACAAAACAATCAATTTCTGAAATATATGAACAGTATTGACACCACGTCGGATGAATCTCTTAATAGACGATTACACTAGGGAAGCCAACATTATTTCGCACCAGTTTATCGGTATATGCGACAGCGAAATCCCCTATCAAAATCGACATAATTTTGTCCACAAAGAAAACCTATTAGATTAATGTCTACCACATTTACTTTCATCGTTCTCACAAGCGATTGCTCACCAATCGAGCATCAGAGCTTTTCTGACTTAAACTAGCTAGGATTGTTTTCTCATGATGCTAATATTTGATTCAAGTAATTTTCACACCATTTTTAGATTTACTCTTTTGTTTATCTATTAACTGTACATATAAAAAAAAGAGACGACACGATAATAGTAGCGCGCTTTAAAATGAGTAAGCAAACACTAAAAGGCTTAATCAAATACACAATTAGTAAAAAAAAAGCATCATATTTACATGTCGTCTTTTATCTATGCATTGATAAAAAAACGAAGAAAGAAAGTACTTGCCACTAGAAATAGATAAAGAAAGAAAGAAAGAAAGAAAGAAAGAAAATTATGTAAATAATGATGGTGACTAGGTTTTCGAATGAATAAAGAGCACGAGGAAAACATGTGACAGAAAACACAGGACGGATTAAAGAAAGAAAGAAAGAACCACAATGCCTTAATAAAGAACCACCAGAAAAAGAAAAGAATAGTCTGATTAGTGCATATACCACTGACGACAAGCAATCTCCGATCATGTTCCAAACATGTTCATTCGTACCACATAAGAAGTAGAAACGGACTACAATAATCAGATAGATAACTATAATTTTACTTTCTTGCTTTCCATAAACAAACGAATGTTTAAAGTAAAAATCGAACTCCGATTATTGAATATCATCTACTGGGAATGCCATATGCTTAGACTGATTTATCTGAAGCTTAGGGGAGCAATACTCTAGATAATCAATGCTTTGAGTTCGATTTTCAATCAAGACCCACGTTTTTCCTTTCAATGTTTACTTATAGAAATCAATGAAAATATAGCTATAAAATCGAATAACTCTCTTCTTTCTCAAAAAACGTGTAGGCAACATTACTTCTTCGATCTTTTTAGAAATTTTTGCAATTTATACTGCAATTAGTCATGTTAAGAAAGTTGAGGTTGTTGCTCATTTACATTTAGCGTCGTTCTTTGAAATTGGCATAAAACTCAAATTTTATGGTTCAGATACATCAGATAATCAGACTACACGTTCATTAATTAATCTTATGTAACACGTTAGATGACACTATGTAATGAGTTCACGCGCTATATATTTAAATGTGTGAATATGAACACGATGTAGGGAAAAGGATATGAGCAGAGCAAGTCTATATTATCTAGCATTATTCACAGTAAAAACAAAAAATATTTCTTCGTTTTATCTGTTCTATAAAATCGATTGGGCAGAAACTCGAACAAAATCTGAAATGTTAAAACTCAGTGGATAAAACTCAATTAAAAAAAATGTGTATTGGAGAAAGTCTCAAAAGGCATTGAGTATTTGTCTAATTACTTTTCCTATAGTTGTGCTGCTAATTTTAAATAAAAAACTCCACTCTCCTTTTGAATATCTATATACATCAATACAGTAAAACCTAGAGAGAAAAATGTAAAAGTAACATCAAAAGAGCACCATCATTGGATATTGGGATTTTTTGGAAAGAAAAAAAGGTACAAACGAATGCAAATGAGCAGTGGCGGACCTAGAATTTTTCTATGGTACATGCGGTCACTGTAGAAACAAATTTTTCTGAGACCGTTGTTGCGAAGACATAATTTTTTTTTGCTTCAGAGCGGCTGCACGTACCGCACAATGGCTGAATCCGTCACTGCAGATGAGAATATACACTATTTCTATCAAGAATCCATCTTGATATTTTGTTGTCCGGGTTTCCACGGCTTAACCCTTACGCGATAAAATTTCGTTCCTAATGGCACGTTGAAACGATTATTTATCTTTTTTGCTTGACAATATTCTTTATCTGTTACTTGTCCTAATATTGGTTGACAACTAGGTGCTAATGTCGACGTGAGTGTGATTGAGCTATTAACTAATGTATCGGTGTCTTCTGTTGTTGTTGTTGCTGCTGCTGCTTCTTGTATCTGTGGAACGATTTTGTTTATTTGTAAGAGTTCGTAACAGTCCGAATGAACAAAATGTAATGTTGGTAAAAGAGTATAAATAATATATTGTTGATATTTTTGTTCATAATACACAATAACTTTGTCTGAACGATTAACCGTATAAAATGATATTAACGACGGCGCCGTTGGCACAGATGGCGAGGCGAGAGTAACAGATGATGTAGATTCTAACACTTTTGAAAATTTTTCTTTTAAACACGATTCAGCTGCTATATTTATACCATACAGACTAGTTGTGTTAGGTGTTGTACCTGTTGGTGGAAGACTTGTACCGGGTGAGGCAGCAAATGGGGTGTATAGCTCGTATGTGCCTTGATATTCGACTGGAGAAGTTTTCAATGAAGATGCAAATGATTCGATGAAATTTGTCACGGTTGTAGAACTGGTCGGTGTAACCGCTAATGATGTTGTCAGTCCTGCAAAAGTTGGTGATGATTTACGTTGTAGATCACTAGAAAATAAGATTTCACAGCGTTACCTGGCATTATTACAAACAAGAAACCCACGTAATACAAAACTAGTAGGTCAAATTAGTCAGAACAGCTTTAAACACAATACTTCTGAAATGTCTCATGCAGTAATTATTCTACTTTTCTCTTCCACGAAGTTTTAATGATGCATGTGTTCGTACACATTGTGACCAGACTCACGCAACATATATCATACACTACGAAGTATGGTCGATTTTTTACCTCGCTGAAGATGGAGACGATGTTTGTACAGCTAACCCACTACTCATAACACTTTGTTGAATAAATGTACTTGGCATATTGATTGGCTCACTCCTTGACATGAATGCATGTCGTAGTTTATCACCTTGTTCATCTAAATTTTCATCCATCTCCTCTTCTGTTTGTCTACCGTCATTTTCATCGATTGAAATTAATCGCTCCTTCGCCGTTATTATTGTTGTTCGTTTCGCTCTTACATTTCGATCGAATAAATTATCATCATTGGCACTCTCATCGTCTTCGCCATCGCTTGCATCGGTTGGTGTTGATGATAGACCGGCTACAGCTGAAGGTGGAGAACCAACCATTGGTGTCAAATTAGTGTGTAAATTTGTTTGTGATGTTGAGAATGTATAAAAATTTTTCAATTTTCTAATGCATTCTTTCAATTTACGTATCTTTAAACGTTTCTCTTCTAAATTGTTTTCTAATTCATTAATTTGATTTGTTTTTTGAATTGTTGCATTTTGAACGGCACGTTGAATCGCTTGATTGAATTGAATCTGTTGTTCTTTCATTGACGTGGATGGAAGAGGAACAATCGATTGTTTGTGTTCATCTAAAAAGAAATTAGAAAGGTATTATTCAATATCAAATCATGATTTAAAAAGTTCTTTCTTTTCTCATACCTTGTACTTTATTTTGTTGTTCCGTAAAACTTGTTTGTAATTCTTTATCATCGTTCATAATTTGTACCGTTTGTGTTTCAATATTATCAAATATTTTACTTTTAATTTCAACCATTGTTTCTTTATCATTCACTTCAATTGTATCTGTTTGTATCGATGTTTGAATGACATTCTCTCGTGTTTGTTCAGAATTCATTTCATTGATTAACTTATCATATTTTTCGTTTTGAAAAGTTAATTCGGTTTTTGTTAATTCATGTTCAGTTCGAATTCTTTCTAATTCAAATTCAAAATCACTATTTAATGCACGAACAATCTGATGTGTCTCATTGTCTGATTGTTTTTTATATTCATCGTAGTCTATCTGTAACTGATCATATTTTTCCTTTAATTCAACTTTTGATTGATCACAGACATCATACTGGATCTAAAAAAGGCAACAAAATACCAATGTACAAACCAATCACAGCGTAATTATGATAAAACCAGAGAAATATAGTGGCTATATTTAACACAAAAAAGACTTTATAAGAATGAAACATTAATTTTATCATGATTAGTAGATTAGTCTATTACCTTTAATGTTTCATTATCTGTTGTTTGTGTTAATAATTCTTGTTTCAATTGTTCATTCAATTCTTCTTGTTTATCAACTTTCTCTTGTATATTTTGTATAAATTTTACTATTGTATGATCAAATAAATGACGAAATTTTTGAATAAAATCTAAATAATTTGATTTATCTTGATCACAATCTATTTTCAATTGTTCATGTGTCGTATGAAGTGAGTGAACTAATGTTTTAAGTTGTTTGAGTGATTGAATTGAATAAATATCTAATGATTCGGTTTGTACTGCACTATCATTGGTATTCAATGTTGTTGATGGTATTCTAACATCATCTTCATTTTTCATTTCTGTTGAACAATAAACTGTATCTAAACTACATTGAATATAATCATCACCCAATGTATTATTTGATTCATCAATAAGTTGTTGTTCATCTTCTTCTGATTTTAATTGTTCCGGTGTATATTCACTTTTCGAAGATAATACAGTTGAACCATTTTCTAAAAATAAACAATAGATTGATGATCTTTACATTAAAAACAGTTTTTTTCCCTCGAATTACCTGCATCAGCTGTTGTATCATTATTTTGTCTATCTAACGTTTTGTTATATTCAAATGATCGATCATCTTTGTTAATATCATGAACAAATTCCGCTGTATTTTTAGAATTATTTGACAATGTAGGACATGTACAAGTTTCATTATTTGTTATTACTGTATTTTCATCAATAACTGATTTTGATGTAATTGGAGTATGTATTGGCGTGGAATCATTTTCAAGATCAGAAGATGATGGAGAACGAGCCATTGAGCGACTATTCGAAGATGATGTGGAAGGTATTATAGTTGTTATTAATGCAGTACCATTTGTAGATGTGGTGATTAATGGAGACGATTCTCGTTCAGTAAATAATTTTATACATTCAATTATATTTGATAAATCAATAGACGAATCATTTGCATAGGCAATTGTACTTAAATAAAAGAAAGAATAGATTTATCTAAGCGAACATCTAAATAGAGCTCTTCATCATTTTTTTTTCTAGTGATTAGTTGATTTTAACAAAACTATCTAGTATATTCAACTATCAACATACTCAACAAATAGTACTTCCTCTTATGCATACCTGTTCTCTTTTATTTCTGGAATAGCGTCAAAAACACGTTCTAACTCTTGAGAAGAAAAATTTGGAATTGTTGTATCCAATAAATGAACAGGTTCTTTCTAGAATAAAAAAGCAAACTAGATTATATACGGATCAATGGCTTTCATTCATCATACGTACAATGAAAAAACTTGGTATCACTTTTAAACCGGGAAATAAATTAAACAGGAAATGATTATCTAAATAATAGAATAAAAATAATCTATTATTTATCTACACAAGAAAATATGATAGATAGAACATACCATACTGTTTTAAAAACTGTTCACGTCGACTCAATTCATCATTATAAACAATTTTTGATTCTTTAGCAAGAGTTTGTGAAAACTAAAAATAAATTAAAGTATGGACGATTTATTCTTTGAATGAGTGTTGTAATCGCCAAGATCCGAAAAATCGTAGGGTTTTAAAGGACGTTTTACTAAGGTTTCTTTCGTTCGAAAAAATAGAACATGAAAAAGAATTTAAAAATGTTTCTACATTATGCTACTTCAATCTAATAGTATCACATACGTGAGTATAAGTGATATCAAAATTCCAGTAGTTCCTGTTTACCCTGCAGGACAACTAATCAAGTAAAAGTTACGGTATTACCAGTCTTTTTCCTTGAAATTCTGTTTCTTTCGATTATAAACAATACATTCTCAAAAGATCATATAATTTTTGCTTTTCGAAGGAAATAACCTGGAGAGTTTAAAATATCAAAGTAGCAAACAAATGAGAGTCGTAGATTATGATGTTACTAATAAACTGAACATTTCAAGGAAACAAAGCAGGGTAATCAAATGTTTCAACGTAAAATTTATTAGAAAAAAGGAAAAAAAATTTGAAGCAGAAAGTGTAGACCCAAAAGTTTTAGTAAACAGTAAGAAAAGCGGGAAAAAATGTTTAAGAAGCCTACAAAATACATTTATTATGTTGTTGAGTTTTTATTGTTCTGTAATTGTGAGACATACATACCTGATTGAAAATATTTGAATATTCTTTTCGTCTTAAACATTCGAATAAAAATGTGAAATAAATGTATGGTGATTGTCTCAATTGTTTTAAAAATTGTGTCATTTTTTTCAAACGTTGTAATTTATGAATATATAATGAGATTTTTGCATCATAGTCAACTAATTGACGTTGCAAAAACATTATATTTCTGAAGAAAAAAAGATTTGAATGATTAAGATAATCAAATTTTCATGTGTGTATATGCGTGTATGAGTGTGTGTATGTGTATGATAGATAAACAGTTTATTTTTTTTTTGTTTCTTACTTAAATCTTAAATGTAATTGTTTGATAATATCCTGTTTCGATTTAGATATTTTTTTCTCAATATCAATTAATTTGGTATGTCGTTTAGCAATACCCATCAAATTTTCACGGTGAATACGAGAAATATCCTTAACTAATGTCATATCACGTTGATTTCGAATATTTGTACTTAATGTCTGACGTTGGTTTACCATGTACTAAACAATACAAAATTATGTCGTTTTTTTATAAAAGGTAACAATGATAGAAAACCTACTTCCGCACAATCTTTTTGTTCTCGTCCATATGATATTGCTTGCTCTACTTCAGTTTGTAAAAAGCTAAAGCGTTCTTCAATACCCGACATATGTTTCAAGTCATTACTAGATATTTTTGATGCTAATATATTAATATCATTGTTAATTATATTACCAAGTTCTTCCGTGCACTACAAGAAATAAATTCAGCTAAAAATGAAGTCTTTAAGAAATATTTCAAGATAATAAAACGATCAAAAGTCTTTTGTATACTATAATTTAAAATACTACAGATTCTTACGTCTTCTACAGCGCTAACACAACCATTTACAATGTCTGGAAGTTTCATATTTGCTAACTAGAATAAAGTACAAATATTGCATAAATTGTATTAGACTTATTGTATTCTTTCTTACCTGTGCTGTAATCCATTCATATAAGGATAAAAACACTTGTTGATGTTGACGTCCGTGGCCATCTCCTCCTAGTAGAGTTGTAAATGATTGTTGATGTGTATGCGATGGTGATGGTAAACTATTTGTACTCGTTTCTGAAACAGACGATGTTATTGAAGATGAAGATGCTGTACTTGTCATTGTCTGTTGAATATTTGAATGAGATGCTGTTGATGATTGTAAATGATCAAGACGCATTTGTTCAATTAATTTTGTTGGTAAAGATAATTTTTGTAAAAGATCAATTGTATGAGGAATACTAAAATGATATTGTCTTGTAATATATCTATTTCGACTCTTTAAACGTATTTACCTTTTAAGTAATTCTTCATAAGATGGTCGATCAATTAAATATTGTTTATATAATCGAAGAAATGAATCACGATTCAATAAAAAACTTCTAAAAAAAAAAGAAAACACAAAAGATGCATTGGAAAATGTACGAATAAATAAATGTTGTCTTTTTCAGAACTACATACGACAATGTATCTTCAACATTTGCAATAACAGCCATCCATCCTTGATATTGTTGATGTTGTTCACGAACAAAACGTACACATCGTTGAACTATCTGATTTGCATAGTTATTGAATGACTAAAACAGTAAAAATAATTCAATGATTAAAACTTGAAAAATAAAATATGATCATTTACTTGTGCCGTATTTGCTCTTTCTATTACTGTTTCATATGATGGCGTCATATTTAACCAGTGTTCCAATGTCTGATTATCGATAGTTGGAATATCTGTTGTCCAACGTATTTGTAACGGTTGTGAACGTTCTAAATGTGATTTATCCAATAAATAAATTGGATTTTCTTCCTAAATATACACAATTACAAATAATTATTTCATTAAAAGGTTTGAAAGATACTCTTATTATACATACCGTTCCCGCACATGTCTTCATACAAACTTGAACAACATCATCATCTAATAATTCTCCTCCACTAATCAACAAAATTTGTTTGGATTTGGATATACCATAGTTATGTTCGATTGTTGATTTCAACGTTTTGACACTAAAACGAAATTATTTTAGCTAGTGAGCATCCGTAAGAAGTATAGCATATCCAATTGATTGTACGGCCAAACAGCGAGTAACTGCTTGTGTAAATAATCTCAAATTATAAACTTCTCTAGAGAAACGTTGATGAAAAACAAATTTAGAAAATAATAAGTATATGTTGCAGACGAAATTAAAAACTAATGAAATTTAAAATTCTCCTAGTAGAACTTAAAATCAACATACTCACAAATACAAAAACTCAATTATTCATCTTCAGAGCTCGAATTTTAGTTTTCTGAAAAGGTACGATGTTTATGGACATCAGGTGAAGATTATAAACAATCCGTGCGAGTTCAAAAACCGCAACTTGTGAGCAGAATTTAAACGTTTTGTGAGCTGTACTCGAACTTAGGAAGCTATATTTTGGTCGGATAGAGCTTTTAGATTTGCAGTTATTGTTCATAATTTTCATCTGATGTGCATACACATCGTGCACTTTTCAGAAAACTAAAATTCGAGCTCTAAAGACGAATAACTGAGTTTTTATGTTTATGACTATGTTGATTTTAAAGGAGAATTTAAACTTCCATTAGACCTTGCAACATATACATTATTTTAGTAATATTCTAAAATTATATTCTATGTATGAGTTCAGAATCTGGAGTACATCTTTACAGGTCATATGTTTTTTGTGATCTGTTGCATAAAATATTGATTAAAAAGTAATAAAATATATTATATATTCAATGCTTACTCTTTGAACGCTAGATCGGTCTCGAATGTATATGTATCGCCAATATCCACACGAAATACGTAAAGCATTTTGTTAACATTAATAAATAAAAAAATATGATTAATATTATAAATACACGAAAAACAAAAACGACGCAAAAATTAATTGTAATTATTTAGAATGTACAAAATAACAAAAAACACGCACACATGTCATCTTTTTTTTCTACATGTTTGCTTGTTTTATCATCTAGAATGGTGCAAAAAAAGTTGTCAACCTTTGCTATTCTATATTACAGCAACATCTCTCGTTTTCTTTCTTTTTTCTACTAGCATAGCATAGTATCTATCTATCATATGGATGAAACAACGAAAGGATTGTCACCTGATATGTGTAGTTCACATTTACATGTATATTGAAAAAAATAAAAAAAGGATGGAAGAACAAAAAGTTGGTTTCAAAGAACAAATAAAAATATATACACCATTACATCATCAATTTTGATGATGAGTTCGACATCGAAATAAAGAAACAAAGAACGGTATATTTATTCTACTTTATCGCATATAACAGCTGATCAAGCAACTAAAAAAGAAATATATATTCAAGAGAAATAGAAAAATCAGAACTAAGACATTATACCGCAGCTAATAGAAAGGACAATATGAATAAAAGTATAAAAATGTACTTCAACAGATTACCTTCAAAAGTGCAACATATATATATATATATACGCATTAGATGATTTTATAGGTTATATCTTCAACATTTTTTCTCGGCAAATTGAGTACGATTAAATAAATATCTAATTAAGAGCAAATATATATATATATCGAACGAACTGATCATTAATCACGCCGTTTCAAATATCTAATGTCAAATACGCAGTTGTCATCTATCTTTTTTCTGCTTTTTCTACTTTATGCTAGCACATTACAAACTCTTTATTTGTCAACGATTTCTTTGCAAGAGGTCATTTATGTGCTAATATAATTTATTATTAGAAACTGCCTGATAATAAAGAATGATTCGTTCTTTATTTTACGTACTTGTTATACATTTTCTCAGTGGCAGATCTAGAAAAATGTATTGATGTACGTGATTTACTGTTGGAAAAATTTTTAAAACAATATTTTCTTTAACAATCTATCTACTAATAAGAGATGTAAATTTTTTTCAAAGTGCGTGTAGATCGTGCGTGCCATAAATCCACAACGGCAGTTCCTCTTGTTACTTGTGTAAGAAATACGTCAAAAGTTGATAAAACAGTTGTTTCTATGCAGGAAATACATTAATAAAGGATCTCGAGGCAAAAAATTTTCTATTTCTTTTTAGAATTTTCTGTTTTTATAGGTTTTTTTTCTACTCTACTTAGAAATTAAAACTGAATAACAAATTCTTACCACAAATAAATATAATGAATTACTTATTTACGAAGATGACGACCACAAAACAAAAATCATAGATACATATTCGACATACAGAAATTTTAATTAATAAGTTTCTAGTCGTGAAAATGTACATGAAAGTTACTAAAACTCAAATGTGAGTTTAATAAGAGTATTCGTTAGTTAAGAAAACTATTAATTCTGATGTTTGTTTGAGTTCAGAGAAAAAGCTCAGCAGATGTTCAAATTAAAGACATACCACTGATATCATTCACTAGTATATGAATCGATGAAAAGAAGTACTAACAGGAATACTTTTTTTATGTTTCAGCAATAGTGAATGAAATATTGAATTTAAACAAAAATATAAAATGAGATTAATATCTTTTCGTCCTTGCTGCAATTATCAAGACACTTAGGATCGGAATGAGTATGATGATTAATTAAATATGATGATAAAATATCTCAGTCATTGTAAAAAATAAAAAAGTGCGTCATATCAAACAATCACATAGCTTTCGATCTAATCTGATTATTATATATAAACATACCAAACTGATTAGTGCACTCGGATACCCTTCGATTACTGGTTATTGGCCAAATATTTGAACAAATGATATTGTTGTTCGTGACAGTGATTGTCAATCATTGTCATGCTCGTCACGCTGACATGAAGTAGATGTCACCAAATACTTCTTCCACTAACAGGAAGAAAAAAATAACAGCTGGAAAACTAACTTAATCTGCTTGTTTCTAAAATCAAAATTTATACGTTTCCTGTGAGCTTCTGAAACGAAGTCGCAATACTATAAACTGACAGCCTTAAGGATATTGTGAATCACTCTGATATATCACCGGAAAAAGAATAAAGTTGGTTTTGAGTTGCTGAAAAGTGCTTTTTCGTATTCAGTACACTCAATAACCCGGAAGATTTTCTATTTTTGGCCGAGGGTACTTCCAAAAGTTTAAGAAAAATTTTCAAACTAATATTATTTTACCATGGAAATTTTTTTGTATCATTTTGTTTCAAAATTTTTCCTAAACTTTTGAAAGTACCCTCGGCCAAAAATAGAAAATCTTCCGGGTTATTGAGTGTACTGAATACGAAAAAGCACTTTTCAGCAACTCAAAACCAACTTTATTATTTTTATTTCGGTAATATATTTTGTAAAATAGTTAATAACAAAAAAATATATCGGGCTACTCGTACAAAAAAGTAAAAAATTAATGTATGAATAAAAACGCAAATGATAGATTTCTTCACAATTTCAAAATAATAACAAACAGTGCATACGAAAAAAGTAGGATCCTCGTATGCATTCTCTCACACATAGGAAAGGGATGATTATTATATATAAGATTGGTGTTTTTTGACCGTACATTGTGCAAATTCGTCTAGAAATGAATGAGCACACATTAACTTGTCCACAATATACATTACTGACTTTTTTTTTTATTGATCACATGAATACAATTCTTTTTTCTCTTCACTTTTCACCTTTCTGAATATATATACCGCAAAAGTGATTATTGTTTTGTTTGTCAAAAAAAAAAACCATATCACTTTTACCTTGAATGCATATGACACGTCACAACAGATGTCTTATTCATTTCTTAGCCACGCGTCATGTCCGTGTGGGCAATAGACTCGAACTATCGTGTGACCCAGAATAAATGGCTCTTCTCGTATTTTGCTTATAATTTTTTTTCTTTTCAATTCTTAGATCTGGTTATTTTTTCAAAAAATGCGCCGTCAAATTCTCTATAAGATTTGAGCAAACTTATTTCTATAGAAAAGTTCAGAAGAAAAATTAAACAAAGAATATTCAACATGATGAAACGCATCAACTTTCTAACCTATTTTGTTCTACAAATTTTAGAATATTTTACACAACTCTAAAGACAATGAAACAAAAGTGAAGATATTTTTGAGTACTTTGAAGTGCGTTTGCAGTTCGCAGTTCGTTCAAATCTAAGTGAATACTGGAAAATCTAATATTCCAAAATTCACCTCAAAGTGACCAAAATCTGCTATTATTCGGCAGATGAAGTTAGGAAGAAAGTTTTCAGGTAACTTTCGCCGCTGAATCACACAAGTGCTATTTCTCATCAAAATAAAAAGGACCGAGCGAAAAAGGTGCTATTTTGGCTTCGTTATGCAGCATTTTTCAGGAGCTCCGAATCTACACATTGAAATAGCTAGATTTTGCAAAGCCTCAAAGCTTGATTCTGGATTTGTGCACCTAATACTGGTTGGTATAGCAAGGGCTTAGAAAGTTGGTCCGTTTCATTATGTTTAGTATTCTTCCTTTAATTTTTCTCCTTAACTTTCTATAGAAATAAGTTTGATCAAGTCTTACAGAGAATTTGACGGAGCATCTTTTAGAAAAACAATTAGATTTAAGGATTGAAAACAAAAAAAATTATAAGCAAAATACGAGAGAGCCATTTATTTAGGGCCACCTGATATTACCTGAAATTTTTTGAAAGAGGACACTCAAAGAATATCTAACAAACAACAAGCTTTTTTAACACAATCATCTTCACGATAAGGAAACAATATTTTTTTCCTATTGATGATTTAAAGACGACTCGAGCAAATTATTTCCACCGTGGGTCTGCATATTTCAAAGTCTTCCTTCGATTATTGTTTTTTGCAACGGTACAATCTCAATTGATTTTGAACTGTGTCAACAATTTATTAACACCAAAAGCAGCCACCATTCCTTTTAAGTTTAAGTATTTTTCGTTAAAAAAGACTTATTAAACAAACAGACTTGTGAATAATACAAAACATACATATTTGTTCCATTCATAAATTTGTTCAAGCACGAAAACATGGAATTATTTACTTTGTTCCCCATAGGGACATTTTATCGAAGTTTCGCGACGCTGGGATCGTGCAGTTGCAACATCTAATGTGTGATCACGTGTGAACTTTCTATAATTTTACACACGTTCACAAGCGACACTTTCTTTTCACATGTGTCCACACGCCGTTTTACGATGTTCACGTTCGACCACAGTTCATTTTACGATATTCACGAGTGTACACGCCGTTTTATACTCTATTCAGATTGAGTTTTAAAACGAGATATTTGGATTTATAGACAAGTCAAGATGCTCTTTTAAACTGGCTAGAAGAGAACGAAATCTCCATATCTTCATGTTCTGAACCTACTTTGAAATGGGAGATAATCTCATGGACCATGCACAGACTAGCGTTTGCACGTATAAAACGAATGAATTTTGTTTCTTTTTTTTTGCGATCCAAGGCTTTCATTGATAAATTTCAAGAAAACTATGCCTGATGATGATGTGAAAATTTGTATCGACAAAATACATTAAGAGTATGAAAAAATTACAACAGTGATAAATTTATTTTTGAAGTTGTGAAAAGGAATGGTGAAGATGCCAAATTTTGCAAATGGCTCCTTATTTGTTGTATACGTGAACACGGGGATGTGACTGCTGAAATAAGTAACTAAACATTTTCAAATGTTCGCATTCTTAATCAAATAATTTAGAATAAAGAAAATGATAACGAATGAGTTCATAGTACGGCTATTGGCAACTGTGTCCCATAAAGAATGGGACTTTTTGTTTTCGCTATAACTCTGTCAGTTTTGACGCTATCGACCAAATTTTTGTTTTAGAAGATTCGCCATTCAATTCTCTACAAGAATATGCTAAAACTTTTGTTGTAAAACACAAAGAAGAAAAATTATATAAAGACTACTGAGAAGCTCCAACGTGTCCAACTTTCTTAGACAAAAAATAGTCTTCTCGGTTCCATTCGTTGGATTTTTGAACCTACAAAAGAAACAAGTAGACATTTTGTAGCGCTCAAAAAGTTCTATCGCTCAACTATGTTAGAAAATTTTTTGCATCAATACCTGTTGTGTAGGTGAATTATTTCTTTTTTCAGATTTTCCAAAAATCATGTTTTTGAATTAGCGATTTTGGGGTTCTCAGAAAATTTGCATGAGTCAATAAAGAATTAATCTTTCCAGCTTGGCTTGTCTTTTAATTTGAAGAGAAATGAATGGCGCATTAGACTAAAACTTTAGCGTTTGAATATAGCCCTTCATTCGGATGTAATGAGTAAAATAAGCAAAGTTTTATGCCATTTCGGCTCAGTTTTAATAGCAGTGTTTGCCTCATAACACTTGGTTGAAACGGACTTTATTGTAGATCAAGCGAAAGAGCGCACTTTGTTGTACTCGAAAAACTTACTCTGTCGTGTTGTCATATTTGCGAAAGAGATCGAAAAAAAAGGCAAAACTGTTCAGGAATAGCAAGAAAAACCATTTTAGAAAGTTGAACATGTCGAAGCTTCTTAGTATTCTTTATATAATTTTTCTTCTTTATGTTTTACAACAAAAGTTTTGACATGTTCTTGTATAGAATTGAACGGCGAATCTTTTAAAAAAAATTGGTCCGATCGAATAAAAACTGACGGAGTTATGGAGAAAACAAAAAAGTCCCATTCTCGTTAGAAGAAATCAATATTCAAACCAAAAAGAACTGGTATCTTATACGTTTTACACTATTCATATCAAACGTTTTTGTTTTCCTCTAATTTATCTAAATATCATTCTACAATTAATTTTTTTTCAATAAATAAATTCACTGGTGTTTGCATTAGAAAAATAAAAATAAAATTAAAAATTCTGATATAAAAGAAAAACAAACACCTAGGAAATCACAAGATGAGTGGAAAAAACATGTCGAATGCAAAAAAAAATAACAAGTGCAAGTGTAATATGAGAAGTTTAATTTAAAATAACAATTTCTTGTGTTTTACTCATGTCTAATTGTAATTTTTGAATATGTAATGTTTTTATATTTTGTTCATAGTTCCATTGTGATGTTGATATATCTTGATTATTCAATGTTATTCGTTGCGGTATTTGTGATAAGCCATAGACATGGATATCATCTAGTTTAAACGTGAAATTGGTATATTTAAATGTCCGTGGTTCCAGTGTTAGACGATTTGAATCATAGTGGAATAAAAAATAGGAATAATTAGTCGATTCATAAGTGTCTATAGATTCACCATCGTCCCAAAATAAATCACCTAAAAAAAATCGAGAAGATATTAATATTCATGTTTTAAATGAAAATTAAGCAGGTGTGAAAAAATTAATCTGAAGATAATTTTAACGACAGTAAAATAAGTCGTGTACTATGTTTCGATACGTTGTATCATATACAACTATTATGGATTTAGTAGCAACAATTAAATTACCGTTCGCTTTTTGTTGTTTATCTAACGCTATTTTCAAGTACATTGGTTGTAAACGACTGTGAACAGTATTTATAGCTGATTTTTGATGTGGAATAATTGCACCACCTCTTATATATAATGGTAAATAATCATAATCAGCTTGTACGGTTAAAGCTGATGTTGTTGTGTCAGTTCTTTGATACATCTCTTTACCCAAATAATAGTCATACCATCTTTCTGTTGAGTTTAAACCAGGGAAATACACTACTTTTTCTGTATGATTTTCATAAACAACTGGTGCGATTAATAAATAACTACCCCATAAAAATTGTTCGTCTAATGACCAACATTGACTATCTTTTGAAAACTCATGTACCATACTGCGAATAACTGTACCACCAGAAATATGAACATGATGAAATAATGAGTATAAATAAGGAATTAATGTATAACGAGTTTCGACTGCTTTACGATTGGATTCAACAACCGGCGGAGAAAAGATGCCTGGATCTTGATCTGGATAGTTTATACCATTGTGATTCCGGAAAAATGGATTAAATGCACCTAAAAGAAATAACTCAATAATAGACTAAATAACGACTCACAATATCTACATACCCAATTGCATCCATCTCTGACATAATTGTTCAGTTGTATTTCCTTCGAATCCACAAATATCAGCGCCAACATATGGTATACCAAATAGATTAAATTCTAACAAGCCGATTAGATTATATTTAACGTGTGACCATGCTGCTGCATTATCACCTAACCAGTGCCCAGCAGCTTTGCCTGATGTTGGAAATGTTGAACGACTAATGATAATTGAACGTTTATTGTCTAAAGCTCTAACGGCCGGTAATGTTGCCATAATTTGTGACCATCCGTATAAATTATGAACATCATAATGACGAAAAATATGAGAACTATTAGTTTGTTCTGCAATCATACACAACGTTTTATCAGATATACGATCACCCATTATGACAGGTTTATACGGTGGATTGTCCCATTCATCATCAATAGGACAATGTAGATTCCAGGGTTCAGAATAAGGCCAATTCCATGGCTTTATTTTATTTGTATCAAAATTAGCCGGTTCATTCATATCTAAAATTTGTGAACAAAAGTATAAATCCTATTCATTGAGCTGATTTTGTCAAGTCGTGTATACTCTTTGGAAACTCACCGATCCATAAAGCATCGAATTTCAGTTTTTGATGATAATTTAAGATTTCGGATTTCCACCAGGAAATAGCAGCTGGAGAGAAATAATCGGGAAACACGGTTCTACCAATTGGCCATACGTAACCGAGCATATTTCGATTTCCTAGAAGAGACAAAAGCAAAACGATATTTAATTAAAAGATAACAGATATGACAATTTTAAACTATTTTTAACAATCCCAATGTCAACTTCTATTCGAAATACAAAAATACATAAATTACCTGTTTCATTAAATTGTGCATTTTTATCTTTTGGCCATTTGATCCATATATCTTTTTCTTGTCCTCTTGTATATGTTGAATAGTTTTTTGCTTCTGAATCAATAGCTGGATCTAATATTGTAATGAACTTCATTCCTTGAGTATGTAGTGTATCAACATACTCAGGTAAATTTTTAAAACGAATAGAATCCCATGTAAAATCAAGTTGCTCATAAAAATAATCAATATCACCTAAAATATAGAAAATCATAGTATTTCATAGAATAGTCGTACTTATCACTTCTTCCACTTATGCTCTACAACGTTTCCCGAAAACCTTGGTGTTCTTATTCTCATTCTTTAAAGAACTGACATTTTTCATTTCAAAGACTAAATATTGTTTTAAATCAAATCAAAGAAAATGAAAAGTTAACTATTTTTATTATAGTTTCAGCCATTACATACATATTCAGAAAAAATAATTTATATATTCTTACCATACACCACATCGAGTGGAATATTTTTCGAAATTGTTCTGTTCACAGCTGCTTGCATATTTTCTAATGTATTATATCCATATCGACACAAATGAAATCCTAAAGCCCAGTAGGGTGGCATATACGGATTACCAATGACATGTTGATATTGTTGAATCACATCTTCAGGAGTTGGTCCAGCAAAAAAGAAAATATCTAAAATTCCTCCAATTGTACGATAGGTTAACATTGATTGATCTTGTTCAAATTGATTGAATTTGTAATCTTGAGCATTTGAATTAAAGATAAGAACACCAAAAGCATTTCCATCATTTTCCACGACCATATAAAATGGATGAGTACCATACAAATTTTCATTATTTCCCAATGGCGGTTGATCACGCGCAAATATCCCATAGCGAACACCGGAATTTAATACGTGTTGAAATGTGGGATGAGTATTTTCGCCCATACCATAAATATTTCTTGAAGGAATTGTTGTCATGAATTGTAAATATTTATCATCATAAATGAATCCTTCAGCAAAAAACGATGTATCGAATAGAATTGCGTTTGTATCCGTTCTCACAATTTGAATGCCAGCTTGCTTGTATTGTGTGTGTGTTAGTCGAAATTTAATTTTTTGTCTCGCTACATGAGAAGTAGTTGGATCTGGACGCCAAACTATGGGAACGGGCACTTCATAACGTTCATGATCTAAATCAGTTATTTTCAAACGAATCATATCTGTTCCTGATGTTGTCATTTCTAATCTTAAATTAAAAAATTAAACTTGTTGAATAATAAACAGCGCTCAATCATTCTTTACCTTAAATTATCAATATCATTGCCAAACAAACTAAATTCGGATTGTTTCGTGTCAATTAGAGTTTCAACAGGAGCTATTAACTGTTGTTTTTGAAGATGATTATGAAGTCGATAATTTTGCATACGTTGTATCGGTACTTTGTGTGCGGGTTTTGTTGATAAACGTTTTAGTTTATAGTGAATACCATATTGTTTAGTTGATTCTTGACCAATGAGTTCATAACCACCTTTTGATTTCGGAACATAACATGGAGATGAATTAGTTTGAGCTGTTTGAGCTGTTTGATCCCATTCGCATCCTCTTGCACGACATTTATTAGCATCAGCGTCTAGATCTGGATGACAATCAGCTCTGTACTCAGGATTTTTTATAGCATCACTTACTGAATCAACTGGATCTACTCTCGATCCAGACCAAGCTAATGTATGATTTATTGTCATTTTCATATTAAGATCAATTAATTCTAATATTTGTGTGTTTCGTTTCATGTGAATATTTGTGACATTTTGTCTTCCATCGATTACGAACGATGCTGGTGTATCGTCTAACCCGTAGATTGTCAATGAATCTAATATTAAATGATTCATATTTTGATAATTATTTTCGACAACATTAATGGCTAATTTCATCTCTGTTTTTGACCATTTGAATTGTGCATAATAATATTGACGCTTTTGAACTGTACCAATCGAATCACCATCATCATAGAATAAATCACCTTCAGCATTTCCCTCTGAATTCAAAACAATTATTAATCCAAATGGTTTTTGACGTGAATAAACGGTATTGTTTGCAAATTCTTGAGTTGGAATGATATATCCACCTCTGAAAAAAATAAATACAAGATAAATAGACAGCTGCTAGTATGATATCGATATTCTTCTACCGTAAAAATATTGGAATAGTATCTAATGGTGCTTGAGTTTTTGCCCATTGTTGAATCATATTTATTCTTTTACCCGTATGAAAATCATACCAATGGGAGGATGGAATGTAAACATCGATTTCTCTCGTATTATTATCAGTAACCGGTGCTATCATAATACATGGACCAATAAGAAATTGTAAAAATATATCTGTTGTTATACGATCTTGTGGATACTCGTGGAAGAGCGGACGAATAACAGTTGAACCTTGCGTATGCGCTTTATAAAATAATGTATAATAATAAGGTAATAAAAGATAACGAATTTTTAATGCTTTCACCATTATGTCCACAGCCATATCACTCCAATGAGCAGGATCTTGATCTTCTGTTTTCCATATGTTGTGATTACGTGAAAATGGATAAAATGCACCAACCTGCATCCAACTAAAATTGTCAAGAAAAAATACATGAACCTGGTTGTAAGACACTGGCGTGCATCAGAGGTACTCAGTATTTTAGTCAAGATGGTATGAATAATCTCTCTGTTTTTAATGATCTCGTCGGTTAAGATTAAAAATCTATCATTGGTACAAGTCTTGACTCCTAACCCATGGTTAGAAAGGCCAAACTCTGACAAACAAGAATTTGCCAAATATATTCAAGTCCTTTTGATTCAGAGAGAAAACGTCCTTCTTATCGGGATAGCAAAATGGAGTATGATGCAGTTTTATTCGCTAAATACTAATGTTCTATTAGGTGTGTCTGAAAAACTAGCAACATGTACACAGATACGATACTTTCTTTTCTATAAGTCATTTACTAAGGAATAATAATAATCAGGTACATAATCGATTTTTGAACTCAGTATTTTCGTTAAGAATATCTTGAATCGAACGATTTTCGACAAAGATTGGTTTATGTCATCTAAAAACTAGCTATATTTACCTAAGAACGCACGATTATGCCTGAAATATCTTTTGCTCTGATTCATTTATTAAATTTTTTTCGCACAGTACAAAACAGTTGTGATTATTAATTACAGGCAATTTGAAGAACATCATTAAATCGAACAACACTTTTCTGAAAATCTCTTAGCTCACAGCTACAATTATTTCATCAAATCGTAATCTGTTTTGTTATCTTGATAAGAAGAAACGTTTTCACTCTGAGCCAAAAGAGCTTAGTTATACCTTGTTTGTCAGAACTTGGTCTTTCAAATCATGAGATAGGGCTCGAAACTTGTACCAATGACAGATGTTAATCTTAGCCGATGGAATCATTTGATTTTGTTTTTTATAGGTGAGTGAGAAGTCATAGTTATAATACTTCACCTTACCGTATGCACATTTCTTCTGTAGGTGTCTTATCAAAACCACATATGTCAGCTCCATTGAATGGAATCCCAAACCAATTGAATTCTATCATTCCAATCAATGAACGTTTCATTTCATGCCACGTTGCTTCATTATCACCTAGCCTATAATAAAAAAAATCTGATTAAAGTAATAAGAAAATCAAAGTACGAAAGATATAAAGTTAATCGTACCAATGACCAGACCATTGTCCTGAACCAATAAACGTTGATCGTGGTAATACAAGACTACGCTTTCCTGTTACTTTTTGCATGATATCAAAAGTTGGTTTTGTTTGACTCCAACCGTATAAACTAGAAATAAAAAATACATTGAATAACTTGTTAACTAAATTATATTATTTCTCACCTGTGAACATCATAATGTCGGTATTTTGACTTTCCTTGCTCATTAAGTTCACCTTGACGTGCAGCCATACACAATGTTCGATCGGATAATCTTCTGGGTCGTTCATTTTCTTTTTCGAAACGATAAATACTTTTTGTTCGATAGGGTGGATCATCATACTGACTATATGGACATTTTAATGTATAATTACTTCCTGTATCAGCCCAATTCCATGGTACAGGATCATTTGTCTCAAACAATGCTTAAAAGAAAGAAAGTAAATAGTCATTGAAAAGAACTGAGGAATTCAACAGAATCCCAATAGATGTCCAATACAATTTCAGTAGCAAATTATCCGTCGACTTCTTTCTAATACTTTAGCAAAAAAAAATGGTCACACCAAATTTTGAAAATTTAATGTCAATGCAGTAGCTTCAAAGAATTCACATCACAGAAGCAATTTTTAAAAAAGCAGCACTTTTTCCTCTCACTTTTGATTAATACAATTTAGATTTGGCAATTTAACTGAATTTTGTGAAACAAACAACAAATTGGAATGAAGACATTTGTTCCTAAAAGGTGATCTTGTTCTTAATTTCTATTGAGAAATTTGGACTGATTCTTACTACTCATGCAGTTTTTGAGGCTGCCTTTTTGTAACTTTTTTCTCACCATAGTCACGACAAACATCACCAAAATAATTCGATGATTCGACCTTCAGAAGAGGTCATCCATTCTCTAACTAATCCTCGTCTTGACGCAGATGGAGAAAAGACAACTTCATTATTAGAATTCTCAAGAAAGTTCATTGAATTATGCGAGTTTATTGCATTTCAACAAACACAATGATTTTGATGTTTATGTGTACTAACAAAGTTGAGTTTAAAAATCAAAATCACTAAAATTTAGAGTACACACTCTGCTCATTGTATAGACAAGATGTATTTGTTCGATAGATAAAGTTACTTACCAGGCTCGTTCATATCAATCCATAGTCCATCAAATGTTAGATTCACGTTTCTAAAATCTGTGATCAATTTTTCCCACCAAATTTTTGTTCGATCAAGAAAAAAATCAGGAAAATACACATCACCTGGCCAACAAGACCCCTTCATATCCGTTCCATTCTCCCATTTGACAAACACATTTTGATTTTTTCCAGTTACTGTTGGTTGATAATTTGGTTCATCAATAACTCCCGGATCGAGGATAACTATTGTATGCATTCCCATTGCTCGCAACTCATTAAAATATTCTTTTAAACCTTTATAATTGATTGGATCCACTGTAAAATCTTTTTCTGCATCCATATAATCAATGTCGGCATATTGAACATCTAGTGGAATACCTTTGTCTAAATTACGTTTAACAATATTTTTCATATGTGTTAAATTTGAATAATCCCATCGAGATAATTGAAAACCTAAAGACCACTAAAAAAACACATCATTTAGTAGATACATCTTCAACACAAATTTTTTGTTATTTTTTTCCAACAATGTATTATTTTAACAAGCAGAGAGGAAAATATTATTCATTCATTAATGATTATATCGTCAGCTCACAAAAGAAAATTCAGTTGTTATTCTGAAGATTTCACTATCCACTGATTCAAATTTTCACAAATTATTGTACAACTTACGTATGGTGGTAATATAGATCGTCCAACAAGCCACGTATACTGTTGAATGACTGCTTCTGGTTGTGGTCCCATAAAAACATAAAAATCTAAAATTCCACCAATTGTTCTCATTGTTAATGATGGCGTAGGTGTAAATGAATAATCCATGGCATTTGAGTTAAGTAGTAAAACTCCGTGCATATTGCCTGACGGTAATCCAGTGTTTTTTTGCTGTTCCATAACCAAATAAAATGGATGTTGACCATAATGATTTGTATTGTTCATCCAATTTGTTCCTTGATCTCGTGCAAAAATTCCCCATGATGTATATTGTAAATTATGTTTTAATGTATCATGATTATTTTCACCAAAACCGTATACATTCGATGATTGAAGACGTGTAACAATTTGTAAGAATTGATTATTTAATACAAGACCTCCAAGACTAGTATCAAAGAGATTTTCTGATGTTGAACGACGTTTAATGACAAATGAAAATATATTATCCAATGAAAGATTTGATGATTCTTTAAATTCATATTGCGGTGATTGAGCTTTACCTGATGATGGACTTAAAGGAATTGGAACCTTAACGAGTAAACAAAAAAAAAAATGAATGTTAGATTTCGTAGAGACCTAACCCTACAAGAAAAATTTCAGTGTACACCAGTGTCTAGCAAATGTCAATCAATAGTATTGATGTTATACTAAACATTTTTTTGCTGAAGTAAAAATCCTGTACCGATCTGAAGAGTGACACTGGTATCGAACAACTGTCCATCCAATATATTTTATACCGGTACGGGTGCGCATCGGTATGCAAATAAATACGACGAGTGCTGGTAAAACTTTTATTTACATGGAATCCATTAACGAAAGCACACGTTTACTCTCTAGATTATCGGTAATTTTACGTTCACACGTAGTTATCGAGTTTAAGTTTCACTTAGCTACATATTACAAAAATGTCTTGTTTTTTTTTTATACTTACTTCATAACGTGGCTTATCCGCATCGTACAATTTAAAATGTAGAATATCATTTGTATAGTATTGTACATCGAGTATAACATTTTCAATAGGATCTTGATATGGACTTTGTACAGCGGTATTTCGTTTTAATTCAAATCTTAAACCATTGTGAGTTTGTTTTGGTTGATTTTTTTGTAATTTGTATCCATAATTGGGTGCATAAAAACATCGAGGTATTCCATTATCATTTGATTTTTCATCAAACAGACAATTTCGATTTGAACATGATTCTTTGCTAAACGATTTATCATGATCCGGGTAACAATCGATACGATCTTGTGGTTCAACATGAACTTGTCCACGAACATAAGATGATAAATAGTATAAAATAATTAAAAGACATCCCATAGTAAACATAAATCGACGAGTTTTTCCCATTGTTTGTTTGAGAATTCGATAAAAGAACTAAATAAAATAAAAATATCAAATACAAATCAAAATTATAATAAAAAAAAATGATTAAAAAATTTGAAAGCCGATTTATGGATGAACTATGATTATATGAGTAAAGAAATTATTAATTTTTGATACAATAATAATCATTAAAAAAAAGTATATTTAAATTTTTTTTTAAGAAAATAGACAAAAAAAAAACAAGCAGCAAAAGACATACCCTTCTCATCCTGCGAATGATGAAGTGTATGCGCATTGATGATATTAATTGTAAATGAATTGATAATATTAATTATCTTAAACATGTTGTAATTTGTTTTATTATTTTCAAGCGCATACCAACATGCCGCCAACTAAATCAATACATAAATTATAATTAAGCAAGTATAGGTTCATCTTATTATACTTAAAAATAAAATAAACAATTAAACAATTAAATGACAACGAAGTATATCTTTTATGTTGAATATACTCGACTTCCTAATAATACAATAATCTACAGAACTATCGACTACTTCAATGGTACAGGACATCTTGCATTTATACGAAATCAACGAAAAGTAATTCTTGTCAAACTATTCCGGAGCGATAGCACAAAAAAGTCGAGAATATGTCTGTATCAAATCGAAACTGTTGTTCATAGGATCATGATCAACTCACATACCCTAGGGGACAAATAATTTGCGAGTCTGTATTTCTGCATGTGATCTATCTATAGATGATTCAAGAAGTCTACTTGTAATGTGGATGAAAAAACACAATTATTAACAATATTTGACTTCTGGTACTTTATTCTTATTAGTAAATCATCGAGTTCAAAATTAGGTCAATTCTTACATGAAAAAATTGTTCTTGTTCAGTGATTTCATTCCCGTTCAGAGGTGACCACTGATAGTTATAATTCCGATGTTCGTGTGGGATCATAGAACTGCTGTATAAAAATAATCGTCCTTTTCATGACATTCACGTGTCAAGCACGTTTATTTCTCTTTTCTTTCAGTTATGAAGAACTGAAAGAGACGTCTTTTTTATGTGTATGTGGGTGTTATTTCAAAATAGTAAGAACACCATCGTGCATGAAATCATGTGTATGAATAGTTCAGGTGTATCTGTATACTGTAGTGCAACGATTTCCCTTTTCTTTTCTCTCTTATAGCGTACCTTTTTCTTGTCTAGCAATAAAAGTCTTCTGTAACCACTTTATTTTGCTGCCATCTGACACCACGAAAACGGCAAGGGAAAATAAATGCAGCCGTTCTCATTTTACTATCCATTCAGACGAATAAAAAGACATACAATTAAAGCTCAAGTAAAGGAATGTTTCTAGTGAATTTAAGTATGCAATGATAGATACTCTTTTTCTAATGTATGGCATATCAATCCGATTTGAAAAGTTTGTTCAATCATAACCGGTTGCACATTAGGATTGTCTGTAGCCGGTTATATTATACGTAATAACTTCTGTATCGGGATACTCTCAAAAAAATTTTGCACAACGTTTTTTATCAAATAATTTTTCATTAATTTCTTGCATGCGACTGAAGGAAAAAAGCTACCTATCCGGACCCCAAAGTTGTTGCATATAAGACAATCAACTATGGACAATTCGAATGTACAATCAATTACTGTCAAACAAGCTTTTCAAATTTTGCGATCGAATCGATACTGAATTTGTACTCTAAAACTTTATTTTAACCCTTTACGGCCGGTTGCATAAGCCATTTAGTAACAATATCCCCTTCTGTGCATATTCCTTTTCTGTCGGCTGCCAAAAATTAACTAATAAAAATATTCCTCCCTTTATATTTATTGTTTTGCTGTGACAGGGATCGGCAAAGTGTATTTTTTTAGAACGAAATTCCTTCGACGCTTAATAGATCGATGTTACCGGTAGTCAACACCCGGCAACAAAGGGTTAAGTAGAAATAACAATGCGTAGCACCTTAGGCGGCGGAGCAAGTACGAAATATTGTCGTTCGCCGTTATTTCACTATTTTTCGTTGAGTCAGCTTGGTTTGCTATGGCCAACAGTGTCTAATGATTACTGATATTTTCGGAAAAGCTCCTTAAAAGATCCCTTTCTCGTACACTTAAGTAATAGACACTTGATTCCAGAAAGCTGTTCTTGGTACTTGTAATTGTACCAAAAACCAAAAAACTTGAGAAACTTCAAAAGTATAAAAACGATATATCTGAGATAAGAAATCAGAAAGAACTACTTTCAGAAAACGTCTGAAAAACAAGCCGATGACAGTAAGAAAACGGTACTTTCAACAGAATGTTTTCCTATTGTAAAGAACAGCCGTAAACGCGGCGTTAACCACCCGTGAAGTTATTCTGTTTGTTTGTTCTAATTGCAATGTTCGTAGGCATGTTACCTACTGTTATCGCGCCAGTCAGGAGAATACGATATTCTTATTGGCCAAGCCGACAAAAATTTGCCAGCTAAATGGGGTATGAGTTAGTTTTAGGTAGTTTTATAAGAGCATCGGTTAAAACATTTATGCCTTTTTGGACTGGTGAATAATGAACGTTTAAAAGAACGGAGGCAGCGTTAAGCAAAACATTAGCCACCAGTGTCATAGCTAACACATCACAAAATACAACAATTAAAATATCAAAAACAAACAGAGTGCTACCAAGGTATATTTCAACAACAAGCGAAAAATTGAGAAAAATTCTACTGTCATAAAATGAACCTTTTTTCGACGATGTTTTCATCGAACTACTTCTCGAAAAAAGTATATCTCCACTGATATCAGGATTTTTATATATTTCCAACTTTAATAGCAAGTTTCATCCGATTACGAATACTTTCTCAAAAAAAAAAATTCACAAAGACGTTTTTATCAAATATTTTCTCTTCAGAATAATTACTTCTTTATTATTTAATTTTTTGCTCATTCATTTATGCGGCTCGGGTTACGAAAATTAGGCGCAGCTCATCAGTAATCTTAATAGATGCACAGTATTCTTCTATAGATCAAGTGTTTTTTATGTGCCATTTAGAAACAGTCATCAACCCTTAGAGAACATATCGATCGAATTATTTAGTGGTGAACAAAAGTCTTCTTTGTGTTTGACCAGTTATTATGGTTGACAAAGCAGATATATGTTTTAGTAATTATATATCCGTTTAAGCAAGCTCTGTGAAATTTAATATAATTATATTAGTATGGTTATTATTGAAGCTGTATAAAAAGCATTACTACTGTCGATGAATTATACCTCCTCTGCCAAATTTGTACACACACCCTAATCAGAAAACATCTATATTTATTTCGATTGTCTATACGCTAATCTCTCTGATACCCGAAACATCTAATAAACCAAAGATGTTATTCGACAAAGTATATGTAAATAGCAACAAGAGTAATTTTCAAATAATAACATGTTTTTAATGTGTGCGTGTGTATGATATTTACTGTTTTTAGATCTGTTCTTTTAAGTGTTAATACTGAGAAGCTTAATATCCAAAAATGTGAAAATATAGCGAACCTCGATGAAAGTACTTTTTTCTCTGTATTTCTAGTCTAAGAAGGTTAATATATCAATAATTATCTTTGTCATTAACATTTACAAGGTAACAAATTTTATGAGCAAATGTCCAAAACAACTTGTTTTCTTAAAAACAAATATGTAGACATACAAGTATGGATAGTACAGAATAGAAAGTATTCCAGTAAGAAAGGGTTGCACGAGTGTGCAAGTATTAGACCAGAAAATGTTAAAACGTGGTACAATTTTCCCCGAATCTTTTAAATTTATTTTTCAAATATTGAGTCGAAATGCATTTTAAGTATGAAGAATCAGAAAATTATTGTAACTAATATATGTTTTGGGCAAAATTCAAATTGTATTGACTGAATCATGTTGAACAATATTGATCATACATAAGGATTTGAAAGCAAATGTATTAAAGTACTAAAAGATTGTGATCGAAAAAAAATCTCATCTTTGTAGTCAAGATGGTGATACATTGAACGACATCTGTTCATTAGATAATACAACTTCTAGTTGAGCATGAAGTAAAATAAAAGCATCTGTGCCTCCAAAACGAATAAATGCTGACTTCGACTCCTGTGCTCAATTTTAAGTGTAATTTACCATTTTTCATCGACTTTTTATCAAACTGAAATTTATTTTAAATAAGAAAAGCTACCACTTTCTTTCGAAAATTCTTTCTCACCTGAGCCATCCAGTGAACTCGTCCAGTGGACGAGTTACTTGGCTGAAAAGTTAACTCACATCGAACGACGGGTTAAAGGTACCCTCCTCTTTTTGGGCTTTCCGTAGAAACGCTGTGAAATAAAAACTAAAAGTCACTATGGCTTCATATTTTCAGAACTGATCGGAAACTCAATGGAGCACTTTTTCGTTTTTGTTTCAAGTTTTTAACTATTGCCGTTCCAGATTTGTTTCCAGACAATTCGGGTTTTCATCGGACCACATTACGGCTCCCCTTAAATTTCATCCGATCGAGTTAAAAGTTTTACCGGAGGTACTCAAGAAAATGAAAACAATTTCCCAAAAAATACCTCTGGTAAAACTTTTAACTCGATCGGATGAAA